AGGGTAAGGGCTTTGAGGGTCATGTAGCACACCCCACCCAAGTTGGCACCGAGTTTCATTTATACATACCCTACACTAATTAAAGCACCAAATATTCCTGACAAAATACCATGTGTTCTAATATCATCAGGTAGACCATTTCTTCTGCAAAAGGGTAAGGGAAATTTGGAAAATTTAAAAAAGTCAACTAATAATTGGTAAGGAAAAYAATCCAATTTTACAGCAAAAGCAATAAAAAAATACAATTCAAAATGCAAAACCYAAAATTAACAGTTGGGAAATCAGTGTGCCACTCCCAAATCTGTAAATAATATTGTATTTGTAATCTGTTGTGTGTAAATGTATATTGTAAAAGACCATTGAAAAAAAGGTGCGAAATCAGATTTGCCCAAACATGAAAAATAATCATACTGCGCCAGTACYAGTAAAAAGCTCAACCACTATGAGGTCTCACTCTGTCTCAGAGGCCCGCCTTCTGACTGCCAATTCCTTGGAATAAATGTTAGGACAGATAGCGAACTATTGTCCAATAATTTCAAGAAATTTCCTGTTCAAAAATTCAACATCACTGGAGTCCATCTGGCAGACAATCAGACAGCATTTCGGTTTCCAAGTTATAGGAGCCCACATAATTGACCTGTCTGACATACATCTTGAACGAAATGAACGCCCAGAGGAYGTTTTATGGAGTTTGTGGAGTACTGTTTACTCAAAACCAATGTCTTGACACACCATGGTTAAGTCATGGATGAAGACAAAGAGTTATCTCCTACCCTAGAAAACACCACCTTGCGACACATTGCACAGTGAAACCACCAACCTCATCAAAACAGATCTGACAAGTGCTTTCTATCAGATACCTTTAGCAAAAGAGTCCTTAAAGTACTGTGGCATTGCCACGCCATTTTTAAAAGGGTGTAGGGGTCTACAAACGCTCAGCATTGGGAATCYYCAGCTCAGAAACCGCATAGAGGAGCTCATGTGCTGCATGCTTGGTCGACTTGGTCCAGGAGAGCTACATAATTGCAATAGCTGAAAATCTMTACTGCGGTGAAAATGCCTCCTAGGAGCTACTTATAAACTGGAAAAAACTTCTCCAAACCCTCSCTACCTCAAAGACAGTCATCAACACTAAAGAATCAACAATTTTCGGATTGATCTGGACTGCTGACAGCCTTAAAACCAGTCTTGACATGGTTGGTCAGATGAGGTCCTTATCCCCGAATGCTCCTTGTATCCTCTCCTTTCCTTGTGCTATTTGACAGTATCACTGCTGGCTGTCATTCATGCGATACAACCTCCCCACTGTATAACACTACTGTGGTCTGAAGACCAACTCTGGATCGTTACAGATGGAGCTGTATAAGAAACCCTGGCATGGAAACCCATTGAGCTCAAACCATTCATACAGCATTCTTACTAATGCATGCCATTCATATGGTCGATGTAAATATATTGAAGTCTATTGATTACATGTATACACAAAAAATCCAATTCATTACTTTTCATTACTCATTTACCATCCAAGAGATAATGCACAAGAAGTACAACATGCATATATAGGTATATCACAATTACAGAGCTTCTTTATTTCAGTTGAGTAAAGTAAACAAAAGTACCTACAATGCATACTCTGATGGCTGTTCTGTCAGTTCAAAAGAATACCAATAAGGCTAATTATATTTTT